CCTGCCCAAGGCAGTCCCTGCAGTTTGCTGCTTATCCCCCTTCCCGTGCTGCCCTCTCCCAACCGTCTACACGCACACCAGTGTGGGCAGTGGCTGTAACATGGATCGCTTCCCGCTCTGGGCCACCACAGGGGCAGGAAGTGATCCACGTTTGTCCCCATATGGGGACACGGGTGCGAGGGGCAGGAAGACACAGCCAGAGAGAGGAAAAGGGCACAGGCGGTTTTTTTCAGCAGAGAAAAGATGGGTGGGAAGACCCTGACATGCTTAGGTTACCTCGGTGCTAGCAAGCAACGCAGACCATGAGGAGCTGGTCTGTAGAGGGAACCCGTGGCTGCTAATCTGCACACCAAGTGTGTAGATGACTGAGCAGAAAGGCCGAGGCAGAAGAGATTTGGGACTACTATTATTCTCCATTCTCTTCTACGCCTTCAAACTGCAAATTACCACTTGGATTCCCTTACCCACAGAAACAGCAGGCATTTGCAAGTTATTTCAGTGCATCCCTGGTGAGTTTCTGCCAGGCCCCCAGGAGCAGCCACTCGGAAGCTCCTTTTGGAACCTGTGGGGATGCCCAGGAAGCTGCTTCTCTGCCCCCTCCTTTAAGAGGGGGAAGGACTGAGGACTGCACCCTCAGCACGTCTGATGGTTTAAAACCTCCTTGGGTGTTTTTGAACAGCAGCTACTTGCTGAGTACAACACTTGTCGAAGTACAGCACATTTGCTCATCCTCCAGTGATCTTTAGGGAAATAATTACTCCAAAAATCTTTTTTATACCCAATGTGAATTTCATACTGACATTGCTACCCTGCAGGGTAGCAGATACATTCAGGGTAACAGGATCACTCAAAATTATTCCTTTCTACAACAGAAAGTGATGCAACATAAGCTGCATTACTTCAAACAAATTGTAGGGTTACTTTTTTTTTTAAACATGTTGCATTATTGTGAATCAAATTTGGCTTTATGCTCTGGCTCCTCACGCCTGCCCACTGATTAACACAAGGATGGGAACGACAGATGCCAAGTACCGTCACATCGGGACAACAGCACCGTGCAACCGCTTCGTGCAAGGGTCAGCCATTTTGAAAGGGGTGAGGCAACGGCGTGCTGTCCACCAAGGGTGCCCAAAACCCACCTCCACTCGCCCTTACCTGGGCCGGGGCGCTGGAGGAGAGGTGGGTCAGGTCCCCGATCCTGGCGGCCGCCCGCGGGTCGCTGGAGCTGATGAGGACGGGGGCGCTGATCTCCATGGAGTGCCGGTTGCTGGAGGCCTGGGAGGACTTGTGCGTCATGCTGAGGGCGGTGAAGGAGTGGCGCTTCTTGGCGTTCTTCTTGCCC